ACTGCCTTATCTCGTACTATGTACTGATAAAGTTTAAGATAAACTAACCAGTGCCACAAAACCAATGCTGTAAAGATAAATGTGAGCTAGTGTGCCTCTACAGAGAGCACCTCAACTCGACTAATAGTTTCCTTATGGATCATTCCTAGAGCCCTGCTCTCTTAACTGAACTCACAAAGGAACAAAGGACGGACTGGCTAAGCTGAGTAATTATCTCATATAGTTTAATGATCATTGTTCTCTGGGTCCTGGTAGGTCGAGGAATCGTGTGTATTACACCCCACACCTAGCAAAGTTTTACAACACTCTCTTTAAGTTTTTAGAGTTATTTATAATAAACGTCCATCTTCTAGATGTTAGGCACCTCTTGAAGTCTAGACATAGCCTTTACAATTACAATTATAATAAAAGGTGAGACCAGAATATGTTATCAATTATAACCCGGTCTTTATTAGTAAAGTTTTCAGTAAGAAAAATATAGTATAAATAAGAATCTAATTTATTCATGCTATTTGCGTCCTACGATCAGTTCCATGGTATGAATGAGGAGACTGCATGGGGCTTCTAGGGAAAATGATAATTGCCTACTGTACCTTAGATCTACAGATTCCAAGGGTGTGTGGTCGTTTTCAATTAGGAACTGAGTTTCTTTATATTATTGAATGAAGTTTTAAGCTTAATAACTAATAAGCTTTCAGTTCGGAACTTGGTCGGACCAGAAATTCTGTGTCCCAATTTAAGAAGACAAATACCTGCTTGCCTAGGTCGATCCAGATGAAATCTGGAACGAGTTTCGTGACAGCGCTTCACTCCATTTATCTCTATCATTCATGAGCCAACGTAACTTATCAGGATCCAACCCAGTATCTTCTTGTAGGACGTCCGGAAAGGTCTTATGTGGTCGTCCTCTATACCGATGGCCATAAGAAGACAAATACGTGATCACTAAAAATAGAAGTATCACAAACAGATATAAATCGCATTATATACACATTTTACAAAACTTTTACTCTTATCATTTAAAAGAAGAAACAGCTATCATTTATAACTTAAACAGTTTTATCAAGTTACTGGATGTCAAATGCACTGGCTTTCAAATTTGCGATGCAATTCTAAAAAAATCCAAAATAAGTAAAAAATTTCATTCAGCAACGAAATAAAATATTGTTAGTGTGACGATTTTCACATCTATAAATCGATATCTTGTACTGCAAATGAAGATCCTGGTCTTAGAAACAGATTAAAATATTATTCAAATGTTTAACTAAGATGAGCATGAACAATATTACAACATGGGAGCGATCCCACAAAAAATAGAAAAAAAAGTAATCTGGATAAGTCCTTTTCTGAATAATATGTCCATCTGGAAATACTTCTATCAATTACCGACAAAAAGAAACAATAATGGTTTCCCAAAATAGTCTGTGAACAGTGTGCTTATATGCGTAATGTTCCAGGACCATGGTAAAATGTCTGAGATTAGATGCTGTATAGCTAGCTGTAAAGTTTCCAGTTTTTAGATTTCCTCTTCTCGGGTAAGGCAGGTAGAACTTCTGTTAGTCTCTTGTAAGTTGTGTTCATTATCTGGAAAAGTGATAATTGTTAAGGAAAGGAACTTTATCAGCTTCAAATTAGTCATTAGCGGGTTCTCTGCTGATGTTCTTCTAAACTTTTAGTTGGAAAATATTTCAACTTCAAGTACTATACGATAGGTAATGCGAGAGTTATCATTATACATGGACGATTTCAATGTAGGTGAAGTTATAGTGAAAGTGAGCTACCTTCAAGCGAGTACGTTGTCTGGAGTTGATAGCAAGGCGCTTACTACACAGTACACACCTCGTTTGGAGACTGGTACTTTCTTCTACTTTGTCTGAACCTGTGATATATATATTGCGTTAAATACTTTCAACACTACTATATAACAAATAATTTGAGCCTGAAGATGGCGTTGACGCCGAAAATGTGCCCTTACTCCTAACTTCCTTGTTTCACTTGTCCTTGTCTCTTCCAACCGGATATTATCCAACTATCAGTATTTTAATAGAGTCCACTAAATACTTCGGCTCCTCACCCCAATACTTAAACCCTCCGCTCATTGATTTCAAGCCAATAATTGAGCGATTATCTTCCTCGAAAATATCATAACTCAGATAATATGTTCAAAATACAAGCAAAATGACCTACTTTGATAATTGTGAAGATGTCACCGACCGAATCCTTGTCTTAGGAGTTTCAAACCAAACATTGGAGAACTATCCTGTCGGATGGTTGTACATTAATTATAGTCAGTGTTAGTATTAATGAGCTACTAATTAACCGTTTAATACACTAATTTAACTTGATCAGTAAAGAATTAAACTTAATCAGTGAAGGATGCAGGCTGGTGTATTTCTCAGTAGAGACTTCTAAAAATCTTTTAATAGTCCATAACATCTGATCTTTTTCTCGAACGGCATCTTGTTCTCCTTATTGTGCTAATTCCGGGAAGCATTCTCATGAATTTTGCTTAAGCGATTTCAATTAACTTACGTTTTATAAAGTTAAACTTCCATTTTTTATCAATTATACCCATGGTTTTCCAGGCACTGTATCCACTAGAGTTCAGTTCAGCGATTCATATTGTTTAAATTTTTCCTCTTCCTATTTTTGTTTTATGACGTGATTGTGTCAACCCACCAAAATGAAAAGTCTTAAACGCAAATATAATGACGACTGAAATAACGACTGCCCTCCCATTGAGAGGCTCCCAACGCAACCGGCCACAAATAATTATGCTCGTGTATACGCGTAGTGTATCGTTTATACACTACACATAATACATAATTCACTACACATAATACATAATAAAGCCAGTAGTTAGTCTAATGATGTGTAAAGCACAACATCTTTCGTCATAATATCATTATTTCGTAGTCCAGTGTAAAATATTGCATCATAAACTTTGTTTAGATAAATTATTGATGTCATGAAATGACATATTATATGTTTTTCAATATGCGTTGCGAGCTCCCAAAAGGGTTTATATTTTAAGTAGACCATTTGAAAATATCTTTTACTGCGGACTGCCGTCTGCCACATATATACAGGGTGGGCCAAAAGTCAGTACCCATACGTTGGCCTTAACTTCGTGAGATCATCGTTTTATTTTGTTCCTATGCTTACTTTGAATTCTTTCATAATGTTATATTTAGTGTTTACCGTGACTTATGTTACACTCAGTAGGCACCAATGTTTTGGATCAGCCGAAATAGATTTAACAAATGTTTTTTAACAAAAATTACATCAGATGGCAAGATTGATAAAGAAATAAGTGTCAGGATTAGAAAAGCAACCGGAGCTTTTAACCAACTCAACAACATTTGGAAGAATAAGAACATAAGCATTAACAACAAAGTGCGAATCTACATCGCAGCTGTTCTTACCATTCTGACCTATATGGATGTGAGATATGGAACACGACTCAAGTGCAGACAAAAAGATTGGAGTCTTTCCATCAGTACTGCTTAAGAAGAATCCTGAGAGTGAGGTGGTTCCATCGAGTAAGTAATGAGGATGTTTTAAGAAGGGCATCAATAACTGCTCTTGCTGACATAATAACAACAAAACGGCTGCGTTGGTTTGGACATGTCAGTAGAAATAGAATGCCTGAAGATCGGTTACCCAACTATTTACTCGAATGGAAACCCAAGCATGGGAAGAGATCAAGAGACAGGCCTAGGAAGAGCTTAAATGATGTATTTATTGAGGATGCTGAGCAGAGATTGGATCGTAATGGACTCACGATTCATGATCGTATAAGAAGATTAGCTGCAGACCGAAAGGGATGGAGAAATGTTACCCGCCGAAGTTGTATAATACAAAATATAATGACGCAGTCGACGCAGACTAATCCTTTTGGATGGAGATCTCGCCATGTAACATGTATGTATGTAGGCACGAATGTTTTGGATCAGCCAAAATAGATTTAACAAATGGTTTGCACAAGTTTTTCTCACTCTGGAATCTAGCTGCAGTCTGGTGGTGTTGAGTTTCATGAATATTTCTCTAACCTTCATAATTACTAAGTCATGCTGAATTGCTTCATTGCAGATATTTTGGTCTTGTGTAATGTGTAAATGTAATTTACAAATTAAATTTACAAATTGTAAAATAGTAACATTTATTTGAATTTTGACTTGAAACTATACCGAGTTACATTATTTTACCAGCTAGCCAGCGCAGCGGTAATTATTTTTCTTGGTAACCCTACACCTAAAATATGTACTTCCTTCATGTTGTAGGACTAGGCGATGACGTTCTGAACATGCTGTAGTTTTGAACTTTTATTGATGATTTGCCACATCGACTGTGTTTCGTTTTCCGTGTAAGCCTGTACTTAATACTTTAATAGTACCATTCCAGATTGGAGCAAGTTAACCGGTCTTGTCCCTTGTTTAGTCATTAACCAGGCTGGTACTGGCGACTGATTGCTGATACGTCATTCTTGTATTTTTAAAACTTATATCATATATTGCATTATTGACAAACATTCTTACTTATTACACTCCACACCTGGTGTATTAATATTATACACTCCGTGGTATTTAATTGAAACTTAATCTCACGCTAGATTTTCACTCACTATACATTTTGTACTATAGCTTCCAGAACTTTCAGTCTGGCTTTTAGTTTGGGTTGTATTGTGTTTGTTTGAGAGTTTGGAAGTCTTTAGACTGTTCATGGTTTACTCGAATTAATCAGTTATGAGCTCGAGGATAAATACACCACCAGCTTGCTTGTACTTGGTGCTATGCACTTACAGCACGGAGATCGAACTCTTAATCTCTCAGTTATAAAATCCCATTCACGCCAACAGACCACTGTCCACCAAGCCCGACGGCATTCCACATTTATGACAATATAATAAATCATGGTAATAATTAGTAATTATTACGAATATCAATTATTATCAAAAATTGATTTTAATTTCAATATCATTGAGTTTGACAATACACCAATATTCAGTGTCTAGTGTTTATATATGAGACAATTGTTAAGTGATATGTGACTCAGTTTAGTGCAACGTGGAGTCGTTAAATCAGCTACCCAAAACACAGGTTAACATATTTTTAGTTAATTACTGACAGTAATCAGCATGTAGTGGCATCTGATTGAATATGTAAAAAATATGCTATTCCTATCCGTTCTAATTGCCTTGCTGTCAAAGATAACGTAGGCATTTTCAGAAATCGACATACAGAGAATAATGTTAAATCGAAGAACAAAAGCCGATTACATCAGCAAATAAAGGTAAGAAAAGAATATATTGGACAAAAAAGATTCGTGACACATGACTGACATGTCCCACACTGACATGTCCCACACTGATATGCCCCACACTGACATGTCCCACACTGACATGTCCCACACTGATATCACAGTATTTTTTAACACAAATCATAAAATTACAAATGGTGACAATCAACTGTTTCAGATAAAGTTCTCTTCAAAAACGATGTCGGAAAAAGATCTATCAATATCTGGATCAGTTGCTATCACGATTTGCTATGGTATCGTCGGTGCATTTTTTATGTTAAACTTTTTGTCAAGAAGAAGATATAACTACCCTTTACTCAAAAAGAAGATTTATGAAATCCGGTTATTTATCACAAATGCAAAACGAAAATACATCGATGATTGGTTGACAAAGCTGAAGAGGGACGGTGAAGATATCCGTGCAAACTACCTCCCATCATCGGAACCACTACCAAAAGATCAGCCATATAAATACTACCCTATCATGATCCCACCAACACCTCTCTCACAGTATGTTGACAGAATGAATATGAAACTTCTAAATGAACTGAAGAAAAAGGATAGGGTAAAAAAGGATAGGGTAAAGCGTATCATAAAACAACGATTAGATTCCAAGGACGGTTACGAGGCCGAAGTGGAAGTTTTTCGGGCCCTTGAAAGATTGAAACTGAACGAGAACATGATATTCGTTCTGCATAGTTTGAAGTACAGTCAGAGGGATTATCATTATTTTGTTGGAGAAGCACAACAAGGAGAGTGTGATTTTATCATAATGGGAAGGAACTATTTCGTCATCATAGAAGTTAAGAAAAATCATGCAGACGTGAAGAAGGCTATGGATCAAGCTAAACGAACTGAGAAGCTTATTGCAGGCATTATGGCTCAAATTACTGATAAAGTAGTACCTCAGATTTTGAACTTCGCTGCATGTCCCTTCTTCGCAGGGAAATTGAAAGATGCGAAAACTATAACAAAAGAAGATCTAAAAGATGACAGGAGCTTTTATTCATGGTGGGAAAAAAACGTTATCGACAAAGTAGATCAGCAAACTTCTTCTATGTATAATGAAAAAACTCGAGACATTCTTATCGCGTTGTGGGCCATGAATAAAAACAATAAATGTGAGAAAGAAAGGTGCTCCTTGGAGTGGAACGTACTGAAGATTGATAAGGAACTAAAAGATGGCCTGATCACATTTGAGCCGAAAAAAGACACGGGGACAGCAAGCCTAGATGTTGTTGAAGCACCCGAGGTAATCAGAAAATATTGTGGAGTTAAGTACCTGACAACAGAGCAAAATAAAGTATGGCAACGTTTCGGTTTTCTAAGATACAAAACAGAGCAAAATACGGTATTTCAGTGTCTCGGTTTACAAAAATACAACGTATTTGAACGCTCACTAAGATACAAAATAGATCATCAAGATAGGGTATCTGAATTTGTATTAAGAATATACGAAGAGGTGATACTAGGATCAAATCGTGAAGATGAGTTATATGAACGTTTAAAAATACACAAAACAGAGGAAGATAAGGTATTTAAACGTTTTCATGGATACCAAAAAGATGAAGAAAATGAGTTATTTGAACGGTTACTAAGATACAAAACAGAAGAAGAAAGTTCTCTGAGAGACCACACAGAGGAAGATGAGTTATATGAACGTTTACTAAGATACAAAACAGAGGAAGATAAGGTATTTGAATGTTTTCTAAGATACAAAACAGAAGAAGATAAGGTATTTGAACGTTTACTAAGTTCTGATACACTGATACTCCTTACTGATATTCCTTACAACGACAAATTTAGAAATGAGTTTGAAGTTTTGCTAAAACTCAAAACAGAGAAAGATTTGGTATTTGAACGTTTGCAAAAATACAAAACAGAGGAAGATAAGGTATTTAAACCTTTACTAAGAGACAAAACAGAGTTATTTCAACATGCATTAAGATCCCACATACCATTTCTAGTATGGATTGATGGACCAGCTGGGAGTGGGAAAACTGTGCTTCTGGCAGGGAGACTGCTACAACTAGCTCTGCAATTAGATACAGTACAGAGAAGTGTTGTTTTCAAATTCATTGAAGGAAACAGCGACACTGACTCTACAGAAGGAGAAGAACACCTTACAATATATCAAAGAGCATGTCAGGAAGCAGGCGTGGATGTCAAGCTTATCTTTCCTTCTAACTCTGGAGAAATACATTCATTGGCAGAGCAGATAATGAACAGTAATAAAACTGTAACAATTATAGAGTTGAAATATGTTGATATCAAATATCTGAAATATACATTTGCTAATCTTGAGTGCTTTCAGCGGAATGTGATTATAGATGATTTTCAGTGCCTGTTACGTTGGTATGACAAAGCTGGTATCGGTGACCTGCTGAATAAACTGAACAGATTTTATAGAGTTTCGGGGTTAAGTCTGCTAATAGCATGTGATCTAGGACAGTGGTATTGGCGTGACAGCAAATATATTGAAAGTGTAAGAAATTGCATTGAAAGGTATTGGGCTTTTGAAAAACAGGAGTTAAAAAAGAATCTTAGGAACACTTGTGATATATCAGATATTTTATCCGTTTTTAGAGATAAATACATAGAATGTGCGCTAGACTGTGACATGTTACCGAAGCAACTTCCGGGTCATTTCATCCGAGGCCCACTAACTGAATTTCATATATTTGAAAAGTTTGATCGTGATTTAATCACGATAAAATTTAAATTTAATCAAGAATTGATCAAGTTATGCAGAATTAACGATTCAGATAATTCTAAATATGGGACCGTAGTTTACAATCATGTTGGCGAAGCACTAATTGAAAGCATATCGGATGTGAATAAAGAAAAGATAAAGGTGTGTCACTGTGCACAAATCAACTCAGCTGAATGGCCGGCTGTTCTTGTGGTACATAATATATGGGGCGATGGCTTTGAAAAAGAGGACTTTACTCAACTTTATCTTATGATATCACGAGCTCGGGTAAAATGTTCCGTTTTGATGTATAGAAGAGGATGGCCGTGGCGAATGAATAAAATGTTAGTAGAAAAAATAGAACCTTTGGCTTGTGTTATCAAATATTAGATTTCTTTCTTATTTGCTAACAGTGCATGGGAGCCTTTCAGTTCAGAGACCGGGACATTCTGACCGTAGGATACATTCTGACCGTAAGATACTAAAGACTTCAGGGTCCATTTTTTCTCGATGTTCAAGAACGTCAAATATATGAACAGCTTCTGAAGCTGTGGCATGTTTGATCGATACTAAAGACCTGCAGGCAGTGTTGAACTGAGACCGATGAAAGTGACATTAGCTTGTGCGGCATCTGCAGTGAAATTAGTCCTTTCTCGAGCAAGTAATCTAAAGAAATCTCAATCAGCCATAAAATGTACCACACTTGGTTACATCACACCTGACAGAAACAGGGAGGAGAGAACAGCTCATCAGAAACTTTTTCTCAAAATAAAGGATATGATCATTGCTGAGCCAAAAAAGTATCACTATCTTAAGCAGGATTTTAAGTATAGATAAGACAGTTACTGTCACCAAGATAGTACTATTAGTCACCAAGGTGTAACAATCAGCGCATTGGTTATCTATAGTACTTTGTTTTGAGTGTATGTAAGCATGTACAACTGTTAACTGATTCGTAAATTTGATGATTTTTTGTGAACACTTTTTTAAATGAGGAACTTTTTTGTGAGTCTTAAAACTGCAACCGTGATTGTAACTCAGGTATGTGATGACTTGTGGATCGCACATCGCTGAATAGCAATCGCGAAGCAGGTTTCACCCAGGTCAGGTTTGTCTAGGCTATTCTCTGAGGGCACACTGTGTTTATGTTTTGTGTTGTGTGCCAAGGTACATCGTTTGATTTTATATATTTTCGTATGTCTTACAGTTACCGGTATCAATATTCAATATCTATCATATATATTCTATGTGATTCAATTATTTTTCGAGTAAACATTAATCGGGGAACCAAAACCCGATTCCCAATCAATCAAGAATAATATAATTTTTAATTGTCGGTGGAATCCACATTTTTGATGGTTAAAAAGGGGCATAATAGTAATAGTATGGGGAGTATAATTATAGGTCACTATAGGTAATATAATATAAGAGCAACGGTCGTGCTTTTCAGCACTGTGAATCCCCTGTTAGAGAGTGAGTTATGTTGAATCCCCTGTTAGAGAGTGAGTTATGTTGAATCCCCTGTTAGAGAGTGAGTTATGTTGAATCCCCTGTTAGAAAGTGAGTTATGTTGAATCCCCTGTTAGAGAGTGAGTTATGTTGAATCCCCTGTTAGAGAGTGAGTTATGTTGAACCCCCTGTTAGAGAGTGAGTAATGTTGAATCCCCTGTTAGAGAGTGAGTTATGTTGAATCCCCTGTTAGAGATTGGATTATGTTGAATCCCCTGTTAGAGAGTGAGTTATGTTGAACCCCCTGTTAGAGAGTGAGTTATGTTGAATCCCCTGTTAGAGAGTGAGTTATGTTGAATCCCCTGTAAGAGAGTGAGTTATGTTGAATCCCCTGTTAGAGAGTGAGTTATGTTGAATCCCCTGTAAGAGAGTGAGTTATGTTGAATCCCCTGTTAGAGAGTGAGTTATGTTGAATCCCCTGTAAGAGAGTGAGTTATGTTGAATCCCCTGTTAGAGAGTGAGTTATGTTGAATCCCCTGTTAGTGAGTGAGTTATGTTGAATCCCCTGTTAGAGAGGGAGTTATGTTGAATCCCCTGTTAGAGAGTGAGTTATGTTGAATCCCCTGTTAGAGAGTGAGTTATGTTGAATCCCCTGTTAGTGAGTGAGTTATGTTGAATCCCCTGTTAGAGAGGGAGTTATGTTGAATCCCCTGTTAGAGAGTGAGTTATGTTGAATCCCCTGTTAGAGAGTGAATTATGTTGAATCCCCTGTTAGAGAGTGAGTTATGTTGAATCCCCTGTTAGAGAGTGAGTTATGTTGAATCCCCTGTTAGAGAATGAGTTATATTGAACCCCCTGTTAGAGAGTGAGTTATGTTAAATCCCCTGTTAGAGAGTGGGTTATGTTGAACCCCCTGTTAGAGAGTGAGTTATGTTGAATCCCCTGTTAGAGAGTGAGTTATGTTGAATCCCCTGTTAGAGAGTGAGTTATGTTGAATCCCTTGTTAGAGAGTGAGTTATGGTGAATCCCCTGTTATAGATTGAGTTATGTTGAATCCCCTGTTAGAGATTGAGTTATGTTGAATCCCCTGTTATAGATTGAGTTATGTTGAATCCCCTGTTAGAGAGTGAGTTATGTTGAATCCCCTGTTAGACAGTGAGTTATGTTGAATCCCCTATTAGAGAGTGAGTTATGTTGAATCCCCTGTTAGAGAGAGAGTTATGTTGAATCCCCTGTTAGAGAGTGAGTTATGTTGAATCCCCTGTTAGAGAGTGAGTTATGTTGAATCCCATGTTAGAGAGTGAGTTATGTTGAATCCCCTGTTAGAGAGTGAGTTATGTTGAATCCCCTGTTAAGCTGTTAGAGAGTGAGTTATGTTGAATCCCCTGTTAGAGAGTGAGTATTGTTGAATCCCATGTTAGAGAGTGAGTTATGTTGAATCCCCTGTTAGAAAGTGAGTTAAGTTGAATCCCCTGTTAGAGAGTGAGTTATGTTGAATCCCCTGTTAGAGAGTGAGTTATGTTGAATCCCCTGTTAGAGAGTGAGTTATGTTGAATCCCCTGTTGGGAGTGAGTTATGTTGAATCCCCTGTTAGGGAGTGAGTTATGTTAAATCCCCTGTTAGAGAGTGAGTTATGTTAAATCCCCTGTTAGAGAGTGTGTTATGTTGAATCCCCTGTTAGAGAGTGAGTTATGTTGAAACCCCTGTTAGAGAGTGAGTTATGTTGAATCCCCTGTTAGAAAGTGAGTATTGTTGAATCCCCTGTTAGAGAGTGAGTTATGCTGAATCCCCTGTTAGAGAGTGAGTTATGTTGAATCCCCTGTTAGAGAGTGAGTTATGTTGAATCCCCTGTTAGAGAGTGAGTTATGTTAAATCCCCTGTTAGAGAGTGAGTTATGTTGAATCCCCTGTTAAAGAGTGAGTTATGTTGAATCCCCTGTTAGAGAGTGAGTTATGTTGAATCCCCTGTTAGAGAGTGAGTTATGTTAAATCCCTTGTTAGAGAGTGGGTTATGTTGAATCTCCTGTTAAAAGGGAGTTATGTTAAATCCCCTGTTAGAGAGTGAGTTATGTTGAATCCCCTGTTAGGGAGTGAGTTATGTTGAATCCCCTGTTAGAGAGTGAGTTATGTTGAATCCCCTGTTGGGAGTGAGTTTTGTTGAATCCCCTGTTAGAGAGTGAGTTATGCTGAATCCCCTGTTAGAGAGTGAGCTATGTTAAATCCCCTGTTAGAGAGTGGGTTGTGTTGAATCCCCTGTTAGAAAGTGAGTTATGTTGAATCCCCTGTTAGAGAGAGAGTTATGTTGAATCCTCTGTTAGAGAGTGAGTTATGTTGAATCACCTGTTAGAGAGTGAGTTATGTTGAATCCCCTGTTAGAGAGTGAGTTATGTTGAATCCCCTGTTAGGGAGGAGTTATGTTGAATCCCTGTTAGAGGTGAGTTATGTTGAATCACCTGTTAGAGAGTGAGTTATGTTGAATCCCCTGTTAGAGAGTGAGTTATGTTGAATCCCCTGTTAGAGAGTGAGTTATGTTGAATCCTCTGTCAGAGAGTGAGTTATGTCGAATCCCCTGTTAGAGAGTGAGTTATGTTGAATCCCCTGTTAGGGAGGAGTTATGTTGAATCCCCTGTTAGAGAGTGAGTTATGTAGAATCCCCTGTTAGAGAGTGAGTTATGTTGAATCCCCTGTTAGAGAGAGAGTTATGTTGAATCCCCTGTTAGAGAGTGAGTTATGTTGAATCCCCTGTTAGAGAGTGTGTTATGTTGAATCCCCTGTTAGAGAGTGAGTTATGTTGAATCCCCTGTTAGAGAGTGAGTTATGTTGAATCACCTGTTAGAGAGTGAGTTATGTTGAATCCCCTGTTAGAGAGTGAGTTATGTTGAATCCCCTGTTAGAGAGTGAGTTATGTTGAATCCCCTGTTAGGGAGGAGTTATGTTGAATCCCCTGTTAGAGAGTGAGTTATGTTGAATCCCCTGTTAGAGAGTGAGTTATGTTGAATCCCCTGTTAGAGAGTGAGTTATGTAGAATCCCCTGTTAGAGAGTGAGTTATGTTGAATCCCCTGTTAGAGAGTGAGTTATGTAGAATCCCCTGTTAGAGAGTGAGTTATGTTGAATCCCCTGTTAGAGAGTGAGTTATGTTGAATCCCCTGTTAGAGAGTGAGTTATGTTGAATCCCCTGTTAGGGAGGAGTTATGTTGAATCCCCTGTTAGAGAGTGAGTTATGTAGAATCCCCTGTTAGAGAGTGAGTTATGTTGAATCCCCTGTTAGAGAGAGAGTTATGTTGAATCCCCTGTTAGATAGTGAGTTATGTTGAATCCCCTGTTAGATAGTGTGTTATGTTGAATCCCCTGTTAGAGAGTGAGTTATGTTGAATCCCCTGTTAGAGAGTGAGTTATGTTGAATCCCCTGTTAGAGAGTGAGTTATGTTGAATCCCCTGTTAGGAGTGAGTTATGTTGAATCCCCTGTTAGAGAGTGAGTTATGTTGAATCCCCTGTTAGAGAGTGAGTTATGTTGAATCCCCTGTTAGAGAGTGAGTTATGTTGAATCCCCTGTTAGAGAGTGAGTTATGTTGAATCCCCTGTTAGAGAGTGAGTTATGTTGAATCCCATGTTAGAGAGTGATTTATGTTGAATCCCCTGTTAGAGAGTGAGTTATGTTGAATCCCCTGTTAGAGAGTGAGTTATGTTGAATCCCCTGTTAGAGAGTGAGTTATGTTGAATCCCCTGTTAGAGAGTGAGTTATGTTGAATCCCCTGTTAGAGAGTGAGTTATGTTGAATCCCCTGTTAGAGAGTGAGTTATGTTGAATCCCCTGTTAGAGAGTGAGTTATGTTGAATCCCCTGTTAGAGAGTGAGTTATGTTGAATCCCCTGTTAGAGAGTGAGTTATGTTGAATCCCCTGTTAGAGAGTGAGTTATGTTGAATCCCCTGTTAGAGAGTGAGTTATGTTGAATCCCCTGTTAGAGAGTGAGTTATGTTGAATCCCCTGTTAGAGAGTGAGTTATGTTGAATCCCCTGTTAGAGAGTGAGTTATGTAGAATCCCCTGTTAGAGAGTGAGTTATGTTGAATCCCCTGTTAGAGAGTGAGTTATGTAGAATCCCCTGTTAGAGAGTGAGTTATGTTGAATCCCCTGTTAGAGAGTGAGTTATGTAGAATCCCCTGTTAGAGAGTGAGTTATGTTGAATCCCCTGTTAGAGAGTGAGTTATGTTGAATCCCCTGTTAGAGAGTGAGTTATGTTGAATCCCCTGTTAGAGAGTGAGTTATGTTGAATCCCCTGTTAGAGAGTGAGTTATGTTGAATCCCCTGTTAGAGAGTGAGTTATGTTGAATCCCTGTTAGAGAGTGAGTTATGTTGAATCCCTTGTTAGAGAGTGAGTTATGTTGAAACCCCTGTTAGAGAATGAGTTATATTGAACCCCTGTTAGAGAGTGAGTTATGTTGAATCCCCTGTTAGAGAGTGAGTTATGTTGAATCCCCTGTTAGAGAATGAGTTATGTTGAATCCCCTGTTAGAGAGTGAGTTATGTAGAATCCCCTGTTAGAGAGTGAGTTATGTAGAATCCCCTGTTAGAGAGTGAGTTATGTTGAATCCCCTGTTAGGGAGGAGTTATGTTGAATCCCCTGTTAGAGAGTGAGTTATGTTGAATCCCCTGTTAGAGAGTGAGTTATGTTGAATCACCTGTTAGAGAGTGAGTTATGTTGAATCCCCTGTTAGAGAGTGAGTTATGTTGAATCCCCTGTTAGAGAATGAGTTATATTGAACCCCCTGTTAGAGAGTGAGTTATGTTGAATCCCCTGTTAGAGAGTGAGTTATGTTGAATCACCTGTTAGAGAGTGAGTTATGTTGAATCCCCTGTTAGGGA